TTTTTTTTTAAACCTGTTAATTTCTAAGTATTTGGGGATTTTCCGGCTTTCTGTTATGGATTTTAATTCCATTGTGGTCTAGGATCACATACTGTATGATTTACCCTGTTTAGGAGAATATACCTTTAATTTTTTAAACTAAAAAACTTCTTTGCAGTGCCAGGGCTGAAACCTACGGCCTTGTACATGATAGGCACACGCCCTCCTACTGACATATTCCCTTCCTTTATATGTGTTAAAGCATGTTTTACAGTTCAGAATATGGTCTACCCAGTGTGTCTGAAAATAATGAGTACTCTGCTGTTGTTGGATGAGGCAGTCAACAGCTGCCCACCATATTCAGTTGGTTGATGGTGCTGTCAAGTTCAATTGTGTTCTTCCTCACTGCCCTACTGGATCTATTTCACTGGGGGAGGGATGTTATGTTCTTAAAAGACAAATTTAATGATTTATGGAATAACTGTTCCTTTCTAGAAGAATTCCAGAACATGTTATCAATGCCAATCAACTTAAATTTTCAATTTTTTCTCAACCTTGTGCATTTTTAGGCTTCCATATGTCCAGTACATAAAGGTAAAACAGATATAAGCCTGAGACCCGTGGACTGAGACCCCATCTAAAACCACATGGACAAGGCTGTGTATGTGCCTGTGCACACACCTCTGAAGGGAAAATCTACAGATTTCATCAGATTTTCCAAAGGGCTTGAAATTTACCATCTCTCAATCAAGATCAACAGAAAGAAAACCTTCCTCCCCATTTTGCAGTTGGGCCCAAGGAAAACATCTCCCCAGGGGCATTCACTCTCTCCACTGGAGGTGAACCTAAGCACCTAGACTCCAGAGCTAGTCCCAGTTTTATTTACAGGGCACTAGGCAACTTTAGTTTCTTTTGTCACTCAAGAAGAGGGGCAAGCTCATCAAGTATCTAGTACTACCCTGTCTTGAGAGGCCTACAGACAACCAGCAGAGGGCACCAGGTGGCTGATTTAGAACCAGAGTTGCTTTCCAGTGAGTGTGTCTAGAGGAACATCTTCCTGTTACCCCTGTTACCTATCATAACAGAAGTTGTATCAGGCAACTCTCAGTACTATCTATTCAAGATATCCCTCTATCTAAAGGAACAGGGGAAGGAACTGAGAAGCCTGTTCTTTTAGAAAACTTACTTAAACTTTGATAATTCTACAACAAACAGTGCTTTAGACAGAAGCTATTGTGTAATATTAGTAAAGGAAAACCTGGAAGTTTTATTTTAAAAAAAGAAAGAAAAAAAGCACTTTTTTAAAAAATTTTTTTTTTCTTTTTTTTTGAACCAGGGATTGAACTCAGGCTCTTGTGCTTGCCAGGCAAGCACTTATTCTACTGAGCTATCTCTCCAGCCCCTAAGAAACCACATGCTTTTT